AGAAGAGTTATAAAAAACCTCTGCCTGGGTTGTGCCTTTAAATGCCCTCACAAAATAAACTATCTTCGTTCTTTGAACATCACACCTCATCCTATGCTCACAAAATAAGGCTCTCTCTTAGAAAAAATCTCAACGGACGATCGACCGCAAACCACGTCCTATGCTCACAAAATAAGGCCCTCTCTTAGAGAAAATCTCAACGGATGATAAACCGGCACCGCAGATAAGCAACCATCCACTTACCTATAGGTCTCTTGCATTTCCTTGAAGACGTAGTGCTCAGAAATGAAATGTCCGGCACTCGGGTGAACTCCCATTGCCGCAAGAGTGCCCAAAATCAGATAGACGAGTGGTCGTACGCCGAACATTTGCAGTACGAACAGATCGAACGCTACCTGAGGGTAAATTGCAAGACGTATTGGACAGACTCAGGACAGACGGCTGGAGAGGGAAAGAATGTGATACCTGAACGATCGCATTGATAAGTTCAAGATCTGACGGAGCTTTTTTATATATGATTAATGGACGAAATGCATAGAATAGAGGTTGAAAAAGCAACCATATGAATTTCCGAATTGGTGTCGTGAACAATTGCGCTTCGAGATCAGTTGGAATGTCAGTGTCTAGACCGTCCTCTCCTGAATAACAGCATTTCAGTTGTGTTGAAAGCTTAGCTCTTGGATGGGAACGTCTCAAAACATTGAATACTTTGGCAATGGGCGGCCACAATTTTATCAGGAAGATTATTTGATATTTGTTTCACATCAACTATACCTGTTACTCCACAATGTACCGATTGGCGCCGCGGCTCCTTGCCTATATGAAACGGGCATTCTAAATTCTCCATCATCTCCTGACCCACTTCGGTATATTCTCAGGGTCGTCAAACGGATTCACAGGGTCAACCGTCCGTTCGAACTGTTCGAACGAAGGGGTCGCATTTTGGTCGGAAGGGGGTCGCAATTTCGAGGACTGCCAGCCACAGGCGCGTGCGTGGCGTATCCGAGGGCAAGAATTGTTTGTGCAGACCGCATTAGATTCGATTATTATGCACAGAGAGACAGTTTTAGGCAAATTACGGTGTTTTCCTTGAGGAATAAAGAACAGTTGAATGCATCCCTATGAAAGGTTTGACTTCTCGGGGCTGAAATTAAAGTTCTTCGGGACCTGATTTTCTGAGGACGATTCTTCCAGACAACGGTAAAACACATAAGAAAGCAGAAATCTCGTAGTCTTCAAAAATGTCTTCGCCCTCCCCAACAAGTTCTTTGAAGGAAGTTATTATTGCTGAAAGCTCAAAAACTCGCATGTGCTGCTCAAAAACCTATGGGAACAAAATGTTCGAACGTGTGATTTTCTCGGAAAATGGATTTTGAAAAACGGTTTGGTGCTTGTTAGAAAGAGCAAATCCTGTACTTTCACCCCATGAAAAAAGTGCATCACAGAAATGAAAATGAAGTGAGTTATGGTCGCTGAAAGCCCAAAAACTCGCTTTTGCACGAAAAATGTTCGAACGGGACAATTTTTTGAAAAAGGGACAATCACTAAACTTTTTATACTATTTTGTTAGAGAAATATTTGAAGTTTCTGAAACTTTTTACAGATTTCCAAAATGTCGCATACGAAAGATTTTATGGGCCTTCAAAGTTGAAGGTGCGCCTTCTTAGAATTTTGGGTTTTCCACTTCTAACAGAAGTACTTTCCGGAGAGTTAGGCAATCCTTGTAGTTTTCTGAAAGCGCACCTCAGGCACAATCAAAATCTACCTCAACAAGTCAAAAAAATACGTCCCAAGAAAGTTATTCCCCTCTAAAATTTTTTCTTCGCCGCGTCCCGTTCTTCCAGCGCCCGGGTGATACCTGCCGCGCTCCAAGGCCGACGCGACGACGCGCAGACGCTTTCTGGCGCAACGGATTCATGTCTAGCACTCTTATTAACAAAAACAGGGGGTCGCAACTGGACCCCCTCGAGAGCTAGGGGGTCGCAAAAATCCCGAAAATGTTCGAACGTGACGGTTGACCCTGATTTGGCATCCCCTCATCACCCAGCCTAGATAGATAGTTTACCCTGCGTCACGGCTCTCTCCGAAATCTATTAAAAAGGTTTGTGGCAAACCTCGCCCTACTGAGCTCACGCTTGGCCCCAACATCATCTGTTCGTCCCTCCCCTTTTCTAGCGTCGTTCCATTTGTTCTGTTTTTCAGCCGTCATCGGGACCGAATAGGGAAGAAACGTGAGAGATTCGGTCAATTAGGTACTCGGTCCAACAATCGTTGGCTCCCGAAACTGAAGCTGCAGAAGCGCCACATTATGAGGTATGTCAAAATTATCCGCCGTTCTGAGCGCTTAAAAGAATCGTTACTGAAAATTCTTGCATTCTTTCTCAACATGAATGTAACATTTGTGATCACTGAAAGCAATGAGAACCACGTGAGCAGAGATAAGCAAGTTTAACCAGTGATAACCATGAACAATGACAATGATGAAGTTGAAAGAGAACTTTTTTTTTCGTTCACACTCTTATTGTTCACTGTTTTCCTTACACTTGCTGAAGCTTCAGTGTTTGATCATTTGGTTTTAGAAATGCTTTGAGTATTCTCATCCCATTCAGAATCGCAGCAAATGGTAAAGGGTGAATGTTCTGTTGGGGCTATCCCACGAACAAGTTGGTTTCCCTCTAAGCCAGGCTAGTTTGGGAGATCTAAGCGAGCGGAAATGATAGAATGGATTGCTGGGCCATCCTCCCGAGCTTGATCCCTCGAGCCTCTGCGTAATCTTGTATCTGTTTATACAATAACTGTTGACTAAATTTCTTATGGAAACCACCTGTGCTTGTCCTCATATACAAAATTGTCTAAAAATACGGAAAACTATTCGGATGATCTGGCTACTTGTTTGTATAGGTTTTTTATAGAGGCGGTTCTGATTCTACCAGTTGCGATAGACGGCTTTTTCTAGAAGCCGAGATATTCATATTTTTGGGGGGTGTCCTATGATTTTGCAACGCACTGGACATCAAAACCTTTTTGAAGCAAAGGCAAATGAGATGTAGGAGAATGCTCCCGCACAGACGCTTCGCCCTTTATAGCTGCTCCACTCACCGAATGAAATAATCGAGCATGTTGTAGGAGCGAATTCGGCAAGGATGAAAGTCAAAGGATAAAAATTTGTAAAGCCGAGGTCGACAATTTTTTGAAATTTCTCACCCAAATAGCGATGATGTTCCACATGGTATTTCTTGAATGAGATAGATATAGGTATTCCAATAGGCAAATTGGCGATCATTCCAAAAAAGCGATTCTATAATAAAAGCGTCATTTAGTGATTGTCTCAGAAGCTGACCATCGGCTTAACTCTCACCGAAAGCGGATATGAGTTCCCAAATGCGGTATTATGGGATATGTCATGAATTGCTAACGTCAACGCGTGGTTAATAACACCACCACAAAAATATGCTTCTATAAATATTAACGTCCAATCTGCTCCTGAAAAAGAAGATCTTCGAATAATAGGTAATCATCTGCTGGACGAAATAGAAATATTCATATGGAAAAAGAATAACAGGGCCACGCATTCGTTCAGTGCTGAATATTCCTGCCAATATTCCTGAATACAAATCGAAGAACAGTTGAGAAAAAACGGGTAATTGTGAAGGAGACAGGCGTTTACCAGAATTTCAAGAGGAGTCCAAGTAGACGATAGGTAGCGATCCAGTAGCCGGAGGCACGCTACCAACAGTGGGGCAAGACATAGAAGATGCCTCAAAATCGCCTCCGCTGCTCAAGTATTCCATTCATCACATGGAAGGAATGAAAGGGGCCCTGTGTATGAAAAAGCCTAACGACTATTTCCGTTATTTTCTGAACTCACTGCTACATTACCCCTACAAGCAACAGTCGTTTAGCCATCGCCGTAGGCGTAATGCCAGCGTTTAGCTGTTCTCGAACGACGTTGGACCCTTTTCAGGGGTATCAGCTTAACGCGATGGTTACCTTTAAGTAAAAAGCACCAATACGAAGCTCCTCTGCAGAGCACTGCTTCATGTCAATCGAAAATCTTCAACTGTAGAAAACTTCTAATCCAAATCTCGGTTATTTCAGTGAATGCGCTGACTTTTCAAACCCTGCTATTTCAACTGCTGCTCGCACTTCAATTTAGATTTCTTTCTTTCTGTTGCAGCACTTCATATTTGAGGAAAACTACGGAAATTTCAAAGAGAATAAAAAGTGCTATGGAACATTTCGGAGTGCAAAGCTCTCCCTTACGGTTTTTCTTTGTTGTTTTTCCAACTAGAAGTGAAAAACTGGAGGTTTTCTACGCATCGAGCATTACAGTTTCATGCGAATACCTCGGGGAATTTTCCCCTGAAAAGCACGCAGTGCGCCAGCTATAACTGATTTACCCTTTGATATCAATTGATGACCACGGACAGGAGTGTGCTTCGAGAAACAACCAAGTGTTGATCAGAGGACCGCAAGGAATCATATGTAGAGTCGTTCAGCTTTTCATCCTTTAATGGAGCTAGAGGAGCGCACTAGGAAGCCTTCGAATCAAAGCGAGACAAATGTCCTACGACCAGGTCTTTGCTGGAATGGACACCACACAAGGGATGACATGAGGGTAATATTTGATGCCAAAATAGCTAAGTGGTGTTCAGAAAGAGGGAAGAGACGTGCTGGGGTGATCCCAGCACATAGCCAAACCCGATCAGGACAAGAATTTCTGTTCATTACGACCAGCAGAACAACTTAGAAAGTGTGGCAGCTGAATAATCGCTGAGAGTCGGCAAAGACAACCCGCCCCCCTCGCCCCCACCCCCGACAAAGAACGCCCGTTTTGATCAACACACGAGAAGTAGTAATATGGAGAGTCGATTCAGCTTTCATCCTTTGATAAGGGAGCGACTAAGGAAGTTCAGAATTCCAAGCGGGCAAGTGTCTACGACCAAGAGAGTTTTCATAAAAAATGACAAGTCGAAGAGGCATAACACAGGTTGAAAGAACGAGGCTTACCGTTTTCCCCTCTCTTGAACGCCGAACTTGATCTCTCTTCGTAAGAATCAATGAAGGCATCTTGGATATGATTATGGTCATACAAGAATTGTGCGCTCGATCTACTGGCGGAGTAACAAGTCCAGGTGCATTGATTACTGTCTTTTAATATGGGCTTCTACATATTGAACCCGGACAACTTAGTGGTATGGAAGGCATGGTTGGCCTGGATGGTGTGCGGTTTGGGATTTGTCCTTTGAATCGCGCATTTGTAAGCGGTGCCGTTTACCACAACACTTCTAGCATCCTAGGTGTCGGATATTGAAGATAACCACGATCCTCTTACTAAAAAGCTTTTTTAGTTGTTTTTCTGGGTATTGCTGCAGCTCTTTGGGCTTTGAGTGCTATGAGGAAAATTTCCTTTTCAACACTCAACAGACTTTTAGAAGACTCATTGTATTAAAGCAACAGTCCAGGAACGAATTTGCGGGCCAAAAGCACCTATATGGAAGTTGTAGGTGAAAAGTGGTCGAACGTAAAGAGAAAAAGTGAAGAAAACGCCCAACTGGGGCTTAGACAGGGACATGCCCTGCCGTTTAGGGAGACGTGTGTTGGACGAGTTGTCCGAACCTGCCCGTAGTACATGCGCTTTAATTGCAACTGCTGGCAAATAGCTGCATGCTTGCAAATACATAACTACTTGCCAGCAATCGAAATTGAAGCGCTTCAATTGCGTTCTTATGGAATCGACCTCATACAGCGCGGCGGTCCCGCAACGATCGCTAGTCAAGCGCGGACTCTGCACAGCGTATGTTGGGCGATCCGCCTCTTTATGGGTGATCCGCCCCCTCCAAGAGGACTTCGACCCCTTCCAGCGCATTTTAGAGGTAGGTTTTGAACTTAAAGACATTTCCTATAAACTTTAGTTGGGCTGGGGCATGTTTTGACCGCCTAATGACCAAGTAGTTGAAACCCTGCCTGGACTGTTGCTTTAAAGGATCACGGTAAGGAAGGTATACGATCCGGGAGTAATATGCGGCTAACAGTCGAACAGTTTCTTGGTCTGCGAAGAAACGAACGTGTGGACGATTCACGAACGAAAGGTGCCCTGGTTGCTAGTTGTTGAACTTCCGAAGCTTGATTTTTCATTTATCAATAAACATAATGCTTGTTGGCACAACAGCATTATTTACACGTCCGAACAACTTCTTTCTTTGTCGCCGCTCATTCATGGTCAAAAATGAGGCAATTAAAGGTCAAAAAAGTCTGGCTCAATAAGGGGGATTATGGCGATTGAAACTGAGTATAGAGATGCGAAGTGTAACGGCAGTGGAGAAAAAACCGCGAAAAACCCTCGACAAGGCCGTTAACAAAGCCCTCTTTCTCAAAAGCAATGAAGGAGGCCGGCTTGGGGAAGAGGCACGTACAAGCAAGTTTTCTGAAGATATCAGTCGTTCTATCGGTTGATACGGCTATCAACCTAGCTGATTTCACACGTTATGCCACATCCCGAGGTGGGCGGTCGTAGCGGGGCTAGGCGGCGATAGCGCATAGTACGTGCCCTGAGGCCTTATTACCGCGTCGTTTGAGATTTTGAGCATGGGAACATCTCTATGGGTGCGTAACCAATTACAGGAATGACCGAAAGGGTTGGTTAGGTTCACTAAGCCCGACCTTTGCCTTAAATCGTATAACTTTTACGTATTCTTGCGCGATTTTGGCTGCTATTAATTCGTCATTGGCAAACCATTGGCACCTCACGTTCCCCCTAAACATTTCCCGAATCTATCGTAACGCTTGCCTAAATGCATACCGTCTCGTATTCATCGAGCGAATTACAGGTTTCTTTCAATCCTGTAATGGAGCTAGAGCGGAGCCACTAGAAAGCCATTCAAATCAAAGCCGAGACACATGTCCACGTACCAGGTCTTTGCTGGAATGGACACCACACAAGGGATGACATGAGGGTAATATTTGATGCCAAAATAGCTAAGTGGTGTTCAGAAAGAGGGAAGAGGCGTGCTGGGGTGATCCCAGCACATAGCCAAACCCGATCAGGACAAGGTAATTCGTCATACACCAGACAGAATCACCGTAGAAATGTGTCAGCTGAAACCATCGCTGAGAGTCGGCAAAGAACCCAGTGTTGATCAGAAGACCGCAAGGAGTCATATGGAGAATCGTTCAGCTTTTCATCCTTTGATAAGGAGCGCACTAGGAAGCTTCGAATCAAAGCGAGGCAAGTGTCCTACGACCAGAGAGTTTTCATAAAAAGATGACAGCTAAAAGGCATAAAACAGTGAAAGAACCGGCTTACCTTCCCCCCTTCTCTTTTTGGGAACGCCGAGCACTTGTCTTCTCTTCAGAATCAATAGGCATCTTGGATACGATTTGGTCTATACAAGAATTGCTGGTACTGGACGAGTACAAGTCAGTGCATTATTACTCTTTCAAATGGGGCTGCTACAAGTGAACCGACCCTTAGGGTATGGAAGGCTTGGTTGGCCTGGATGGTGTGCGGTTTGGGATTTGTCCTTTGAATCGCGCATTTGTAAGCGGTGCCGCTTACCACAACACTTCTACCATCCTAGGTGTCGGATATTGAAGATAACCACGATCCTCTTACTAAAAAGCTTTTTTAGTTGTTTTTCTGGGTATTGCTGCAGCTCTTTGGGCTTTGAGTGCTATGAGGAAAATTTCCTTTTCAACACTCAACAGACTTTAGAAGGACTCATTGTATTAAGAAAAGCGATTACGATAAGGAAGAGCCGCATCGGGGAAGTATATGCGCCACACGAAGCAGTTACTTGGCTGCCAAGAAAGCGAAGTGTGGCGATTTCACGACGAAAGGTGCCCTGGTTGCTAGTTGTTGAACTTCCGAAGCTTGATTTTTCATTTATCAATAAACATAATGCTTGTTGGCACAACAGCATTATTTACACGTCCGAACAACTTCTTTCTTTGTCGCCGCTCATTCATGGTCAAAAATGAGGCAATTAAGGGTACAATTTCCGTATTCTTGGCGGCGGATTTTGCTGCTATTTTCGTCATTGGCGAACCATTGAGCACCCTCCACGTTCCCCCCTAAACATCTCCAGAATCTATCGTAATCGCTGCCTAAGGCATCACCTCGGTACCATGCTCCCTTTCCGAGCTGCACCGTACAGTTATTGTTTACCATGAATATTCAACACAGTAGACCATAATAAGCCGATTGAGGAAAAAAACTAGTCCGTACCTTGTAATAACCAGCACATGAAAATCTGGAACAACACCATGGCGATGACCACGAATTTGAATGACTCATCAATGCCGAAAAGCTGAAAGAGAACAAAGGAAACTCTTGTCCAGTAGCAACAGCGGCGCTGTTGTCAAATAGAAAAGTTCGGAAACTTCACTACGTTGGAATAGAGACCCTTCAAAATAGAGAACCGGCGAGTGATAATGGTTTCATTATCCGAGGAACAGATCCTCTTTGTGTTGATATTTATTTCCTGCTTTATTTATTCAATTCTAGACCTCAAGAAAACACTGTGAAATGCATTTCCAGGATTGGGGGGGGGGGGTGGGAAGAGGCAATAGGGCTAGTCTGTAACATTGTGCTAGGGCATAACGTTCAGCTTAGAGGCAGCGATTACGATAAAGAAGGAGCGCATCGGGGAAGTAGATGCACCACACGAATCAATACCTGTTGTCGGGGAACAAAAGGTGCGCTGGTTGCTGAGCAGGACTTCGAAAGCACTCCGCCCCAAAAGCGATCCGCCCACTAGTTTACTTGGTGATTTGGACGAGCTGCGTTGCCAGCAGCGGCAACTGAAGCAACTCGAGGAGCATGGTTTGGCATGGTGCACCAAACGCGTTGCGATGAACTCGTTCATACGTCCGCTTTCTGAGCTGTTACCTGTTCATGAGTGAAAACCAACGGCCAAAAAAGGGGGTCCCGTTTTGCGTTTTCTTGACGGATTTCTCCGCTTTTTTTTCGCCACTGGCGTACCACTGAGCACCACCATCTCCTATGGACCCTTCTTGTACCTAGCGTAATCACTTCCTTTAGGGCCTGAGCCTCAAGGGGAGAGTAACTGTGGGCGGGTAAGCAGTCCCTATGAGGATGATTTTGACCATAACCGCGACTTTTCGGTAAAGCCAAGGGACTATGTACATATTAGCCGATGTAAAAATTTGTAACCTGGATTCTGAACAAATCTAAAACTGATACAAAAATAAAATAAAAACACCTCTTTGATTTCCGGATGAGCCTTGACTATTGTTGCTCTTCTGCTCGTATGTGGTTGGTCCGTGTAGGTCCAAATGAAATCATCTTGTGATATTGCTTGGCCCATATGAAAATATAAATCTGTAAAAAGACATGTGAATTTGTTTTTAAGGGCCAAGGGAATAGGCGGACTTCGAAAGGTAAATCAGTTGAAGGCACATTTGACGAACATCTTGGCTTGATAGGATATACCGGGCCTAGAAAATGCACTGCTCTCGCAGCGGCCAAGGTGTGCGAAAAGGTGGCTAAGGCTATGCACTGAAGCTAGGGCGAGATCACTGTAAGGGAGTGCATGTAAGTAAGTGGCGCTCTGCGTTTCGCTCTATCCCTATACAATCTCTTCTGCTGTCTTGGTCCGGAACTCGTCAGTGTTACTTCACCACTTGCACTTGGAAGGAAGGTCCATACTTTCCAACATCCTCGCTGGTTTCTTTTCCTAATAAGCTGTGTTTACGATCAGAAGGCAGTCCAGTAGAATGAGGTTAGGGTAGCAAGTGGTGCCGATTGAGGGAAAAGCCATGAGAAACGTCCCAGAGCCCGAGTAATGGTACCCGTACTACTCGTTGATTTCGACATTGATGCGACTCCCATCGGTGCTGCCCTCTTCAACGCCAACGCTCTTTCTGCTGAACGGCTGGAGAATCGCTGCGAGTGGTTAGTTAGTCGACAGGCGTGCAACAGTCAATGGCGCTGCGGCGAAGACTACGCTAGGTCGCTGGAGTGTTTCCTTCTGAGGAATTGCCTGTGGGTCCACCTTAGAGAGTCCGCCTGTCCTTCTACTAGGTAAGCCCCCCCCTCCTTCGGCCTTCGACGAAATCGTGGAATCCTCCTTTAAAGGCAAGATTCGGGATAAAATAGGTGTGGAAAAGCGTTCAGTTATGAAGCTAGAGGTGGGAGGTGGTCTGGAAAAGAGAAGGAAAGCAAACGAAACCACCGATTACGCAGGACCTCCCCTATTTCAGCCGCATTCCACCTTGGGATAGAGAAGGGGCGCGTTGGACGAGTTTCACGAACCTAACTCTAGTTGCTCCAGTGCCAATGACATTGGGTCGCGATGGGACCGCTGCCTCAAATGCGCCCGCGCTTTTCAAGCAGCGCCACGTGGCAACCGACAGCGGAGGGTGGGGCTTGCGGACGAAGGTGTGAGTTGCGGGTCGGACGAGCTCCTTGCGCCTTTGTCGCGCACTTTCAAGCGGCAAAAGGGGCGCGACATCAACGCTTGTCCGCCTGTCCTACTACCCCCGGGATGGAACAGGCGAGCGCGCCTGATCCTGGAGTGCCTTTGACCCTTTACAAGCAGTCCACTTCGGCCCTCTACTTTTTCAACACGCATTCATCATATTTATGCGAAAGCAGAATGCGCCTTTAAATTGCTCACAAAGCTAGAAGAGCTTTCAATATAGCTTAGAGGTGAAAGATTCCAGCGCATTTCCATTGAAGAAGCTAACCTATTCAATTTGAAAGAGGTCCACAATAGAAGCAGGTGGACCTCCTGAGGGTGCGGACCCACATACCACTCGACTGGAAGGATACACTTCAACGATCTAGCATGGCCTTCCCCGTGGCGCAATTGGCGCGCTATTGCCCCCATCTCGCGTGGTCTCGTGTCTGAACTGTTCAAACGTTTACCAGAGAGAGCGTCACCGTTGAAGAGGGCGCACCGATGAGAGTCGCATCACTGTGCAAATAAACGGGCAAGGAAGGGCTCCCATCTCTCGAATTCTCGGCCGCCATTTTCTAATGTTTTTTTATTTTAATTTTTTCCTGTGTCATTTGACAACCGCCTAACTTGGCACTTTAATTCGCTAACAAGAGGCAAATGGAAGAAGAGAACAAAAGTAATCAAGAAAGAATCGCAGCGATGGACGAGCGTAACGTCGTTTCTGTATCGAGACTAATCGCTAAGATGTATTTAAAAGTACAAGAAAACACACGAAAAACGGTAATCGAGTCGGCAATACTGACGTTAATGAGCTAGGAGAAAAAATTTTATTTGATAAGGTTGTTGCTTTATGTATAAGTTAGTCATCGCCCTATCTTGGTTTCCGTATCTCCAGAAACTGATAGGTGACCAAAATGGGCCGATGATTTTATGATTCACCCTTTCCGTTCCCGAAGGCTTCCATCGGCGTTAGGGTGTGCTTTAACGACAATTCATACAACGAGATACGTACACATTCCTCATGGACTTAGCTATGCATGAATCGAACGCTCTTGTGGGGAAGGCAAGTGGTCAACTCGACATGAGAGATCGAGCAGCTGTTTAGTCGACTAGTGGGGATGCTTCCAATCGCGCTGTGCCTTGGTTTCTACGCGCGAATTCCGTATTTGACCTAAACACCTGGGGTGGTATGGTCGGCATATGTCTAGGTCACTGTTCGCACCAATTGAAGTGCGGCATAATTCATTAATATGAATAGGTGAAACGCTTGAATGGTTAATACAGATGAAAATGCCGGCGAATGAAAAACAATGTATCACTGGGGGCCTCTTCTTTGCTCAAAAGTCGGATTACGGAGCTCATCATCTTTGTCGATCACTAGAACAAAACCGCCTTGACCACGGCCTAAACCTTTCGGCCTTTGGCGGTGGCAATTGCCAGGGCCGCCGCGCGCGGCCGCCGGGCCGGCGCCCATAATTTCAAAGGCGTGTAACATACAGCTGCAACAGCATATCTTTATTACCTACCTATCTGCAGAGGTTCTCCGAGTTATCTTTCCCTTTAATTATGCTATGAGCACGGTAGCCCATTTTATGTGTGTTGCTGGATAGCATCTAAGTAGTTGTGTACAAGCGCACAATCGGCGCCGCTGGTCAGCAAGCTGCAAGGTAAGTGTCAGTGAGTTCTAAAATACATAGCATACATTCATTTTGTTATCATAAATCTTAGATATTAACTTTTTAGAAATAACTAAGAAATTTGGAATTGTTTCGATATAAGCCAAAAAAAAGAAGAATCGGTAATTTTCAAAGCTTCCTCCTTCCTAGTTTTGTGATGGTAAGCTTCATCGCGTAATGATGTACTCGGAGTGAAAAATATCAAGAATAAAAAAATTCCGCGGGAAAATTTAGGGCCCGAAAGGGTTAAGGGGTTTCCAAAGACATTATTGCACAGCGGTAAAACATGAAATCATATTACCAGATGTTGAGATCATCTTGAGCTCACCAGCCTGATTAAGTTTGTCTGCTGAAGGATGAATAATACAGAATAACTGACTATCTTGATTTAGATTTCAGAAAATTCGTACATCAAGCTAACCGATACGCTGAAACTTGCTATACCCCAGCGGTCACGGTCCCTTACGTAAACGGAAAATTACCCACAAGTTGATCGTATTTTGGTTTTAGTGTGTTGGTGATGGTGACATGTGAGCTGTATTTGCAATTTTCGGGGGTTACTTTATAGGTGGGGATGGGAGGATGGAGTCGTTTTGACGTCTTTTTTGACATCTTCGGATATTTCCAGAAACGTTGGGCGAAATAGCAAAATTAGCTCTGCCTCTTCATGGGCCATACTTACGCTACCTTTACATACCCGCCCCTTTCGAGCGGTCCTTTCTGAATGAGGACGAAAGTGAGCTGCTGGAATTGTTGTGGCTTCCTATGATTAAATTTAAAGCAGTAATAGAAACGGGACAGTACACGAAGACACCCCTTTGTCGAAGGGCCCACAAAATTTTTAGAATATGTTCCAACATCGAGACCGACCCTAGTTGCGAGTATCATAGTGCCCGAAAGAGAATGATTAGTATTTATAAAAATGTAAATTCGAGAAAAAGACAGTAAAAAAGGGGGTAACGCGCGTTGGGACCTCGCATAATTCGGCTCGTCAATTAGGTCGCAGTCATTTCAACGCATAGGACGTTTTGTATGAAGAATGAATAAGCAATGGCTCCTAACAAAGACTCCATATGACTTCATGGGTTGCGATTATGGTGGAATTTATCGATGGCAATTCCCTTGGGCAATAGCTCGCATTCACTCCAGCAGTGATATTCATTGCCTTTGACTCAAGCACATATCGTTCTGAAGTTCTGATACAGATAATGTGCTTCCTAGCAGCTTATGGTATCAGTTCCATGACGCGGCTATATGTGGAGGAGAACTTCATAGTCCTGGACACAAACAGAATTCGAAGTGTACTACGTTCTGTGCTACTGCTCGAAGAAAAATATGGAGGAAATATCCTTTATCCGATAATAAAGAAATAAAAATGCTTCCGATACGGGTCAAGCCTCCCTGATGGTTGAGCTTTTTCGCCTAGCTTCAGGACCTATAAAAAAGGGCTCCGATCAGTACTTTCTGAAAATTAGGGATGCAAACAGAACACGTTTACTAAATCAGCTGCCATAAAAGAAAGTGAAAAATTCAGCAGTCGGAAGGAATTTTACAAATACTACAAACAAGCTAGCTACGAAGAAATATCATAAGGGGTTATTGGCAAAACACTTTGGTCAAGGTGTGAGTCGAACCTGGGCCATCTTCAGGCCATCTACAACGCTTTCCTGATTGTTTGGAAAACACTGAAATGTTAAGATGTTCGAGAATCTTTGCAAATTCTTCATTCTACAAGGCTCTCCCGAGTGAACTCATTTTTAGTGGCTTTAAGTCGTCTGCTGAATGCGTAGGTTATATTTGATCCCAAAACATTCAAATGTGAACCTTATTTGGCCGCATATGTAAACATTGGAGCTTAGCAGTACCATCTTTTCAACGAATGGAATTTTTTGCAGTTAAGGCCCAATGGTTCTTCATTGGAATCTTATTTTGTAAATGAATAGGTTCCAGACAAGGCAACGCTATAGATCCTCGAGGAGTTAGGCAGCTGCTCGAGAAACCAGTAATAAAGGAAGCAATTCAAAACCTAGAGCAAGAGCCTACTGGGAGCTCTTGGTGCAGCAGGTTACGAAGATTAGGTTGGCCGTGAAAGATGAGATGTAATGTAGGAAAAAGTCGACTGCAAACGTTTGAATGCAAAGGTTACAAATTGAGGCGAAAAAGGTACAGCACGAAATAACTTCTCAACATCCAACCACAGCGAAAATTAAGAGCCAGGACGGCGGGAAA